AACTTTAAACTTAACTTACATTTTTCTATATTAACTTAACTTAACGAGTTAAAAAAAATAGTTAACTTGCCCAGCCTTGCAAGTAGTTCATACTTATACTGAAAAATTACAGATAATTTATGAAAATTGGTATGCAAATACAATGTTTTTTCAAAAATGAATTCATTCTGGTAAGACATATATGAAATTTAAGTCTTGCTTACTATAGTTGACAGTTTAACTTGATTAATATTTTTTTGAAAAAATAATAATAATAAGGGCAATGGGGGGGGGGGGGCTTTAGCCACTGCTTAAATTATATTAATTTAATTTAATGATGAAATCATTGCATACAAAATACAATTCTAACCGTGGATATTGACTCATCCTAAATTCCTAGAATGCTTGTATAAATAATTTTAAAAAATATCTCATGAATATAAATAGGGTAATTTTCCAGTGATCTTTTTTTTTTTGATAAAGGTGGACATTTATAGGAATCTACTTTTAAAAATTAAAATGTCTAATGCTATGAAAAGAAAAACTTGATGAATTTTGTCAAAATTTTAACTTAAAATGCATATTTAAAAATTATATGAGCATCCTTGCATTTAATTTTCAATCTTTTTTACTAAGTGTAAAAGTCTATGACAATATAATTTTTAAAAAATTTACAAAATTCAAAACATTTCTCAAGGCTATAAATAGCTCAAAAGTATACCTACAAAAAAAAAAAATATTTTGAAAATGTTACCCTATATGGTAAAAGCTAATAAAAATATTTGGTGAACATTTCAAGTGTACAGACTACAGTTATTAGGTTTTGAGTTACACAAAAAAAATAAATTAGATTTTTTCATAAATTGGTTTCGCTTAAAATTTGCCATTTTTTTTTTGTTATTCCCGAATCACGAAGCTTTTGAAAACTTCTAGGAATTTTCAATTTTGACCTTTCGAATGTGGCAACTAGAATCACTTCCATTCTTCAGAAAAAGGAGCTTTCCAGCGCTTAAACCGCTATCGAAAACCAAACTTTCGGTGCAGGTGTGACAAAAATATATATAAATTTATAATAACAAACTGGCTAGTGTTGTAACGTGTCCATTCTAGCACTCTTATTTGAATTAGAGGTATAATAAAGATACACAAATTTACGAATGCTTAAAGTATTTTAATTAAAATAATCAAACGTCGGTTAAACACTCAAAGTGCATACTCTCGTCGTCTCTAATATCCGACTCCCCGACTTAGTCAATGACTTTCCTATTTATGCTAAGTGAAGTCACCTTGTTATGATGTTTTCCGTACAATCTAGAGGTGTGTTCTATCATTAGTTTACACCTTTGATCGTTATACAGGCTTTCCTATAACATGCTATTATACCAAAGTCATTGAATGTCAGTTACTACAAATACACACATTACACATACAATATTATTTGATAAACTAATAATATATGGTTATTACACTAGTGGCTACTGTGTTAACTAATTAGTATTTTACCATTGTCATTTGTGATTTGTCACCTATCTCCGTGAAAATGGAGTATATCAAGTACCTACCAAAGAATATTTTTAGCAATAGATACATCACTGTGAAAAACGTCATTGTCTTATAAATATGTAGGTACCCAATATATTTTTTGGATAGATTATAATTATTTAGGAAGTCATCAAATATTTAAACTAGCCACTAGGGTTCCGAAGTTGTTGTATTAATATGTTTTTGTTGGCCTATTATATGTATTGCTAAGTATAAGCTTGAAATTAATTTCAAGACACTACGAAAAAATATTAAAACTTTATAGTGAATTTTTAGTGATTTTGTTTTAAGAGTATATTTTACCATTTTTTTAGAGCATATTTGAAAGTTATGATGTTTATAATGTAATTTGAAAATTTGAAAATAGAAAAATAAATACTAAAGTACTTTTTATGCATGCGTATTTAGTACATTTTAAATACCTACATCAAGTTCCGAGCCCTAAGTATAACTACTTATAAGTTAGCCAGTTAATTTCTACATAATTACTGTGATTCTAAAATTAAAATGAACTGTATGAAAGCCATTTTAAATATTATTATAATAATAATATTATATTTTCCAATTTATTTAAAAATGTAAATCCATTCACATTGGCTATATGTAGGTATAGGTAGGTATGTTTTTTTTTGTAAAACAGACTACGTGGACTTCTCCGAATACTATATCGCTTCCGACGTAAATTATTAACACACACACACAGAAATACACAATAATTAAAATATAACACTATTACTGACAATAAATAATTTATTATTGTCAATAATAATAAATAAGAGCCGTAGCAAGGGCTTGCAGGATAGACTGGCCCAGACCAGGGGGGCAACAAAAAAGTGCGAAAAAGTCATAACAAAATATACCTATATTATTATTAATAACATATATTTTATTTAGAATACCCGCAAAATAGTTCTATTATAATAGCTATTAGCTACTCAGTAGTCGTTACACTATAATAGCGTAGCATTGTGTATTTTGTATACATATTACAATTTACAAAATAATGTGTTTACAAAATAATATGAAGTTATTATAATTTTCCGAGTGCCCGAATGATATTATATACCTACCTACTAAGACTTAAGAGCTGTCATGACGTAGTCTATGTGTTTTTATTTTCATTCATAGTTTATACTGCTGCTTATATCGCCACTCCACCTCAGCACACACGAAAAACGTCGCCAGTAAACATGGTAGTAATATTGCTTAAATAGCAGTTTAAAAATATTAAAATACATAGACACAATTTTATAAGCATTTAAAGTTCAATTTTTGACAAAATTTCAAAATTATTTTGTAGCTAAAAATTTATAAAATGTTCAACTTTTATAGCTTAGAATTTAAAATAAGGTTCAATGTAAATAGGTTATACTATTAATTACTTTATTCACAATAATATCATTAATTAATATACTTAGTAATATCATATTATAGGCTTCGCTCAGAGTCGTTTTTCTTATACAATGATGAATGATTATGATATATCATTGAATTCAAATTTAACACCATCCATTTCAGTGAACCACTTTGTAACCTACTATGTAAAGCAATAAGCAACACCCACTTGCTCAACTTTTTATTTTTTTGATATCACTTATTATACGAAAAAAGTTCTTTCAAAATCCATAATTTGTTGTCATTTCCAAACTTCAATAACTTTTTTTGTAGTTCCGATATCGCAAAAATAAAAACGATATTTCACAGCTAAAGTTCTCATTTCTGTGGTGAAAATTTCGTCTCTTAGGTAGTCTTAGGTAGTCTTAGGTTATTACTGTAGCTTTCTCGCCTCTTGGTTCTTTCCACCGCCAAAACAGTTTTTGCTGTTTGACATTAATAAGACGGAGACAAGTAGACAACACATGCAGGTGTAGCGTCCTCTTAATATTTAATAAATTGCTTATATTTTCAATAATAGTTTATAAATATAATTTAATATAGGTAGATACGTTCCGGTTCCTCGTATACAGAATATTATAGAACGAACTGTAGCACGTAGCACATATTATTAGATAATATTATAATACATTTATTAATTAATAATTATACGCTGTATATATATCTGTGCTGTGGCAAGAAGTCAATTTAAATTTGTTTTAATGGTCAGTGCAAGTCGCAAGATGTAGAGAATTGTATTAATATAGGTATTGCACATAGATGATAATAATTTATATTATATAATACATACATTGTATATTTTAATATTAATTATTAATATTGAAAATAATGTATAACATACAATTACAATTATGAATTATTATGATCCAATTATTGAACTATCTAAGAACTGCACAGTCCGAAAAATGCGGGATTTTTTTTTACAGTGTAATCTCTATTCAATATTCCAACTTTTAGTACTTTAAAGTCAACACTGTTAGATAAATACTAGTATTCCTTGGGTTTTAGTCATGATTTAAGATAATAGTATTATCTTCACGGACTAAGATATACAGGACTGGACACGACAAGGTTGGAGGGTGTGGGGGGGTTGACTACGAAATGTTTTACAACAGGCAGTGTTCGGGGGGATATTTTCCTTTTAGCATTACTAGCGCTTCCTAGTGGATACTTATGGAACTAGAACACATCATACAAATTTCTAGTTCCATAAGTATCCACTAAGACGGCGCTAGTAATGCTAAAAGGAAAATATCCCCCGAACTCCGCCTGTTGTAAAACATTTCGTAACCACAGTCCACAATATTGAATATTCATCTCGTGTCCAGTCCTGTATATCTTAGTCCGTGATTATCTTAAATCATGGGGCTGAGTTATACTATGATAAAAGTTATACAATTCCCGCGTATTTCACTTTTTCAGTTTTTCACTGTTTTCACTCAGTTTTTCACTGTTTTTCTCTGTTTTACAGATTTCTCTATTCTAAAAATGGATCTTGCAGGTAATTTATTTGACCTTTGTTATGGTAGTAGTAGAAATTTTCAGTGGGGTAGCCAAGATTATAAGTACCAAGTTAAAGGAAAATTGAATTAACCACTACAGAAAATATGATTTACATTTTTTTTAAACTAAAATTAACTTAACAGTTTAAAAAATAAGATTTTTTTTTTGATAAATAGTAAATAAATACACTGATTTTATACAACTCTTAAGTCACTATTTTATTATACACTGTTTTATTTTTGTTAGGATAGCAAATAAATTAAAATTATCAGGCAATAACACAACAATTATTACAATTATTTAAATATCACATAAAAACAGTTAACTAATTTTTATTTTTGAAATTTGAAATTAAGAGTAAAACATTGTCAACATTTCAGGTTATTCTGCATATATAGTTTAATGGTTTAAAATAAAATAATACTACTTCAATAGTAATCAATAATCAATTAACAATAACCAAACAATATTTTACCAATATTTACTTGATGATTTTTCTAAATCCCCTTGTCAATTGTCAAATACAATTAGATTTAGATCAATTCGTTGACAAATGACATTTATTAATTAATTGGTACTAAATGATAAGTAGGTTTACTTCTAAATGTATTCACAATAATTCAAAAGGTTGTTATAAGAATTGTTTCTGTTACTGTTTAGACATCATCAATCATGATCATAATTATTTTGGTGTACAAGAACCCGTTGTTGATCATAATGGTATGTATACAATATACACATTTTTAATTGTAAATAAAATATATTAAATGTAAATCCTTCATCTCCTGAACTTATTGCAAGTATTAAACTATTAATTATTTCTATTATTAACCAACTATTGTAAGCAGGGTCATATTTAAGGGGTGGTCTGGGAGGGCAATAGTCCACCCTGGCTTATGTTAGGGGCGACAACATTTTTACGGCGATTATAAAAAAGTAAAATTATGTTTACGAATAAGCAATGGAAAATTATAATTAATAGTGAGTATATTTTAAATAAATTGTGTAATACTGGTTCCCAATCAAGAACTGCAAATTTTTTTTGGGCGAAGTGAAAAATTGTTTTTTTTTTAAAATGATCTCTTGTTTGTCTAAGTACTAAATTGGATACCACAAATCCATATAATTAGTTTGTGGCTTTTACCACATAGTAGTATGCTATAGAAATATTATTTTATAATACAATAGGTAGGTATCTAAATATTTAACTCTGAAAAGGTTACTCGGCAGATTTTAGTACAGTTTTGTAAGTCCTATTCATGATACGGATTCCGGATGGCCATTTAGTATGCTTCTAAGGTAACATGTTATTTTTAATTGTTAATAATAGAACCTCTGCTTCCGGTTGCTGTAGTAAGACCACAGTCTTACACTGTAGTTCTAGGCATTCAAAGAGGCACAGAAATTATAAGAGATAATCTTGGGTTCATGTACTATAAGAATAAAGTAACAGATACTAAAATGTAAGTATTAACTATAAAATTTATTATTAAACAAAAGTATATTAAATTATAAACATACATTTTAGTTACTTGTCATGTTACAAAAAAAAATTGGAAGGACAGTGCCATGCAACTGCTCATATATCTCCGAACCGCAACGATGATAGGTTGACACTGTCAAAGCGCCATTGTCATGGTGTCAGAGAGTTCAACCTCAATGTTCCACTGCTTCGACAGGAGATAACTGAGAAAGCTTTGGAAATAACAATGAACTCATATACTCCACGTGGAATTTATATGCAAGCAATTGCAAAGTTAGTACCTACCTATAAACTAGTTTTTTGCTTATTTTGTAAGTTTTTTTGTGTACAGTTTTTACAAAAGGTATGCAACTATGCATAGGTGATAGTTAGTTTTGATATCCTTATTTACTTGTTTTTGATATGATGTATGAATTAGCTTTCCAGAGGCTGCAGAGAACTATACATTTATACAGAGTGTAGAGAGGATGCGACGTTTAAGACATACGTTTTTCCCTCAGACACCACGGAACATGGCAAACTTGCACGATTTGTTGACGGCTGCAGATAATGAATGTTTTGCAATGACACTACAGAATCCTCCTAACAGGTTAAAAAATATTAATTATTTTCATTTATTAAACAAAAAACATAAGAAAAGAATTAAAACAAACCATTTTAATAGGTTTTATCAAGGTCCATTGCTGGTAGAGGGAACTGTGAGTGGAGTCATTTTTTGTAATGTAGCCAATATAAATGCAATTGCACCAGATTTGAGAAATGTTGGTCACAGTAAATCAATAATGTATATGAATGTTATTTAATGAATTATTATTATGGATTTTTAGATCCGAGTAGCAGGATGCGATGGCACATTTAAGACTGTACCAAAATTTTTAGAAAATGACGCCTATCAGTTATTTTCTTTCCAAGTTGTATTCAAGGATGTTGTAAGTTTCAATATATCTGTGTAGTGTACTAGGTAGTATATTAATTTATTATGACTAGCATAATAATTTAGTATGACTCAAATTAAGTAATAATAATAATAATATCCATATTATTTAAATTAATATTTTATTCCACTACTCATTGTTAAAACGTTATAGTATACCCTGTTAATTCAATAAATACTAATATATTTAATGACAATTATTTTATGGAAATAGAATATTGTAAATACTTACAATGACATAATATATTCTATACAATAATGTAATACATTATCTTGTTCCAGAGCTTCCCTTTAGTTCATGCCCTTCTAATTGGAAAAACTCAACAAATTTATGTTGAATTACTTCATTACATAAGAAATGTGCTTCCATTATGTTATGATCAGCTCACAATTATTACTGATTTTGAGCAAGGGCTAATCAATGCAGTAAATTTAGTTTTTCCAGAAAGTAAACACCAAGGGTGTTACTTTCATTACTGTCAAGTAAATAGCAAACACCTTCCACTGAACCTATTAAAATTAATAGTATGTAATTAATAATTAATAATTTATGTCAGGCAGTAATAAGATATGCCAGAAACAAGAGGAGCAACCTATTTCAATTATTCAAAGCTGACAATAATGCTGCTCGTGTGCTTCGAATGGTAATTTGTAAAAATTAATAAAAATTATTATAATGTATAATAACTAAAATTTGTCTATAGAATAAACTATAGTTTTATATATCATTCATTATTTTTAATTTAATCTTTAGACCTTACCCTAACCACATTATCAATACACAAATTACAGTAACTAATTAATATATTTTTATTTTGTTTTTACATTCAGATTTTAGCATTACCATACTTACCAGCTACACAAATTGGTGATGTTTTACCTTCAATGGAGGATGGTTTTAATAGCATTGTTGAGTATGTAAACCAATTCCCATATTTGGCATTGCAATTAAACCAATTTATGTTTAATTACATTTGGGGATATTGGTTTATAACAATGGGACCAGCAGCTGTAACAGTATTCAACCAGGTCATTAGGACAAACAACTATGTAGAAAGCTACCATGCATCGCTGCTGAGGCTGATTAAGCCTCATCCCAAAGTTTGGGAGTTTCTAAGTATAATTTAATATTTTTTAGATAATTTGTTTGGTGTAGCGAATTGTTTTATAATATTTAATACTAAATTAGTATTATTTATTTAAGTGACTAACAAAACCTAAGTAATTTATGATTTTTTTTTCTTTTATAGAAAAGGAGAAAAAAGTTATACATTGATGAAGCTTGTATATTATGTTGTTGTTTCTAAATGTTGCACGATAAAATCCATGTTTAACTCTAACCAAAGCTATATGTTTGTGTCTCAGGTATTATACACACAGAATAGATACAGGTAAGCACTATATATGTATGATGTATATGTTAACCACCAACACTTAAGTATCAGTGCTGAGAAAATTTTAGAAGTGATCAATAAAGAATAAAAATATTTGGCTAGGTAACAGTTTTAAATTATAATAATAGTATTATTTAATTGACCAACAATGAGAAATTCTTAATTTAAAATTTTTTTCTTATATAGAAAATAAAAGAAAGAATAAATCGTTACTTGTAACTTATATATGTTTTGTTATATCTAAAATATATTGCACGATACAATCTATATGTTGAACTTCAATTAAAGCTTTATGTTAGTGTCTAAGGTAAGTATATTATACATACAGAATACTGCAGTTACAGGTAAGCACTATATGTGAATATGATGTTTGTGTTAACCACCGATCAAAACAAAAGTGTTATGTGTGTGAAGTGCATTTCAAAGAGAATAATATTCTAATTTATGATGAAACTATCTTAAATGATGGAACAGTCAATAAAATTAAAAGAATTAGACCCACATTAAAAGCTGGGGCAGTTCCATCTATATTTCCAAACTTACCATTTTATTTAACAGAGCATACAATTAAGAGAAAACCTCCTCTCGAAAGGTCTATAAATAGTGTCAATAGTGATAAAAAGAGATTTAAACCAAGTCAGGCATATTTAAATACAGTTGAAAATTCCCACGAAGAATTTTCATTTCAGTATTTAAAAGAAAATCTGAATCTATTAGAAAAACCAGATAATAAATGGATGTTTGGATTAACTGATGATGAAGTAGTGCTAGCAATATGGAATAGTGGATCTGAAAAAAGAATAATAATTTCAAATGATTTAATAGTAAAAGTAAGCAATTATTTGGTCAAAAGTAAAATAAAAAACTGTTCAAACCTATAATCGTATTCTATATTAATTCTTATTATTCCAATTCTTTATTCATTAAATGTTGACAGATTTTTTTTCAATGGTACTGAAATTTTTTTTGATTGCAACATTATTAATACAATTTTATTGAGTATGAATGATATACATAAGTCATAAGTTATTGAAATATAATATACATTCTTTAATAACATGTAAAGGGATTAGGTATAACATCAGCAAATAACATTACCAGGTAAAAAAAACTTTTTTTATAGCAAACACCTTTTGAACTTTGATTATATATTTAGGTATACTTTAACCTGACCAGGTAATAAATAATAAATCATAATTTATATTTCATTCGAATTCAAAAAAATGAAAAAAAAGGTACATTTATAGAAAAGTACGTATAATAAGTGGTAAAACGTAGCACTGCTATCGAACGACGCGCTCCTGGTGGCAGAATAACCGTGCGACTTTTGTCGGGCCATATTTTGTAAACGGAGTTTGGTCTCCTTATCTCTAATCTTCATATATCTTAGTCCTGTGTACCTACTAACATTTTGTGAACCAATTGCAAACAGTATCAACTTTCAGCTAATATCTGTTACTAACTTCCGAACCTAGAATTCCATCGGTGCGTGATCGGGACTCGGGAGCGGGATTGCGATTTGTACTTTGTTGTTGTCGTAATGTCGTTACTCGTTAGATTATAACTTTGTTTTTACCTTATTCCGTGGTGTTTACTGAAACTAAATAATTGTTAATCGTTAATTACTGATGTCTAATGGGTAGGTACTTGAAAGAATATGATTTTTATTTTACGTTAACTTAAATTCAAGTGAAATGCACTTGAATACGATCGTCTTGGAGTCAATCACTGTGTTATCTACGATTTTTGGAATGTTCTAATACTGCCATCGATATGTCTAATAAGCGTGTGTTTTACTTTTACAACCCCGACGTGGGCAATTTCCACTATGGGCCTGCACACCCCATGAAGCCACACCGTTTGTCGGTCATACACAGTTTGGTATTGAACTATGGTCTCTACAACAAAATGAAAATCTATCGGCCTTACCGTGCCAGTGCTCATGACATGTGCCGGTTCCATCATGATGAGTACATTGAGTTCCTCCAAAGAGTAACGCCACAGAACTTGACCACGTACAGCAAATACTTGAATCATTTTAATGTGGGCGAAGACTGTCCCGTATTTGAAGGGCTATATGATTTTTGTTCCATGTATACGGGCGCTTCACTAGACGGGGCAATGAAACTAAACAAAAACTGTTGTGATATTGCCATCAACTGGTCGGGTGGTCTTCATCATGCCAAAAAGTTTGAAGCATCTGGATTTTGTTACGTAAATGATATTGTGATTGCTATTTTGGAACTATTAAAATATCATCCAAGAGTTTTATACATTGATATTGACGTACATCACGGTGATGGTGTCCAAGAAGCGTTTTATTTAACAGATCGTGTAATGACTGTATCTTTTCATAAGTATGGCAACTGGTTTTTTCCTGGTACTGGTGACATGTACGAGATCGGAGCAGATGTTGGAAGATATTATTCTGTAAATGTCCCTTTAAAAGAAGGGATTGATGATTTTAGCTATTCACAAGTATGTAAAATAAGATAAAACTAAAAATAATTATTAGGTAGGTACACTTCTAAAAAAAACTGTTAATTATGAGATTTTAAAATACTTAAAATTATTAAGACATTTGTTGTATATGTAATTTTTTCATCAATCACTGAAAAATATTGGGTATTATAATATATAGCATTTTGTAGAACTAACATAATTTAATGATTTTTATCGTTCTTCAAGTTAAAATCAACACTGTTTTTGATATTTCAATTATAAATACCATAACAAGTCTTAAACATTATCATATTAAAGAATTTTTTCACATAGTTTTTTTACTGACTATTTTATAGATATGAATTCAATGGGATCTGTAGAGTAATAATTTCTATACCTATATTAAAATAATTTTTAAAATTTAGTTGATATTATTTATTTCATAACATTGCTTGAGAAAATAAAACAAAATAATTACATTACCTAGGTATAGGTATATAAAATTATGGAGATTGAATACATTTAAACATAAGACGTCCTAAGGGAAATATTTGAGTTTCTTTCAGTTAATCTTCGTTATAAATAATAAAATTATGAAGTATAGGTACATTTTATTAAACATAAAATATTGACTATATTTGGTTTTAAAGGACAGATATTTTTAATACCTTTTATAAGTTGTAGTAGCATTGACAACTTTTTAACTGCTATAAAAATATAGGTTTGTGTGTGTCAGATATTACCCAAATGTTTAGATGTTTTCATTAAAAAAGGTATGACAAATATATACATAAAATATACTCCCTTCATGAAATAAACAATAATATGTTCAACAAATTAAATTCATAAGTTTTTTTTTAAAGAAACTTTGTTATTTTAGGTGTTTAAACCTGTAATTCAACATGTGATGGATCTTTACCAACCTACAGCAATTGTTCTTCAGTGTGGTGCAGATTCATTAAATGGCGATCGTTTGGGTTGTTTTAATCTAAGTACTAAAGGACATGGAGAATGTGTTAAATTCATTAAAGATTTAAATGTACCTCTTTTAACAGTTGGTGGTGGAGGGTAAGTACATCTATCTTAACTCTTAAGTTACTAATAATATAAATATGTTTGATATTTTAATAAAATACTAATGAAAAAATAATATTCAATTATTCGGGTAATTAATGTAGGTATAATTTAGATTTATAATTATTTTGATAATACTTAATATTTATTTTAAATTGGATGGTTACAATTTATGTTATATTCTATTTTAAGGAACATATTTTTTTATTATCATTCTTTGATAAAAAAAATAACATTTTTAGTCATACCCAAGACTCAAAATTCTAACTATACGCTATTCTCCCTTATTTATAGACCTAATTAGTTATCAATGGATTAAACATGCATACCTACCAATAAATTAATTTTTTTTTATTTGTATTTATTTCCATCAATAGAATAAAAAATTATTTATCATTCTAATAGGAAATATCTGAGTATGGCACTTCCCACAACCCCTACTATCTTATTCTAAACATCAATGTAATTGTTATATTAAATTATGTATATTAAAATGTTTCATTATCTGAATTTAGGTATACTTTAAGGAATGTTGCTCGGTGTTGGACATATGAAACATCTCTTTTAATTGATGAAGAAATTAGTAATACAATTCCTGAACATGAATATCGTGACTATTTTGCTCCCGACTTTTTATTACACCCTGAAGTTGTAACACGACAAGAAAATGCCAACAGTAAACAATATTTGGAACTTATTGTTAAACATACCTATGATAACCTAAAAATGGTACAGCACTCGCCAAGTGTACAAATTCAAAATGTACCTGGTGATGCACTTCCTACAGAGGAATTTAATGCTATTGCTTTAGATGAAGTTGATCCAGATGTTAGACAATCACAGGTTGAACTTGATCGCAGAGTTGATGCACCAAATGAATTTTATCAAGATGACAAAGATCAGGATTTTGATGAAACTAGATAAATTGATTACTTTATAATTTTTGATATTTTTTTCAATATTTGTTTTAAATGTAAATGTATTCAAACAGATCAGGGTAAACATTTTAATAAATTGAGAAATAATGTTTAGTATTCAAACACATTCGTTTTTAACATTTTTACATTAAGAGATAAAAAAAAAAAAAACAATTATCTTATATGTGTGTGTCTTACCTTATAAAGTAATAAGTAGGGCTCGGAAGTTGTAGGGGCTAAAAAAGGTACAATATGCACGAAAAAATTGCAAAATATTCATTAAAAATGTTAAATATGCAAAAAAATTATTCTGAATTCCAAAAATAAAATACATTATATATTGTTAATAAATGAATAATATACATAAAAACTATAAAAAAAAATTAATGTTTAACGAAAATAATACATGTTTCTAATACTTGTTAAGTTATTATGAGTTTTATATTCAATATTAGTTGAAATATTATACAGGAAGAAAAATATGAAATACGCATAATATGTGTATAAAATCAATGAAATATGCACTTTTTTATCTAAATTTTACAAAATTTGCAAAATAATATACTATGCTTTTTCAATTTTCAATTTTTTCAACTCGCAATTGTATACTTTAAATTTCTAGCTAGGTCTGCCATAAATTGATATCATACAAAACAATGCAACTCCTACAACTTCGGAGCCCTAGTTATAAGGTATATTTTTGATGTTATAAAAACATCATTATAGAATATTTTTTTTTTTAATTATTCAATGCGTATAGTTCTACTTTCAAATTCAAATTAAATTATTGTACCTTGTAAATGCTAAGGAAACAATTAAATTATATTAAATATACAGTATGATTAACAAAGCATTGCTTAGTAATTTTTAGTTTGGTAACAAAACTATTAACACTCCTAATTATTGTTTGAAAGCATTCTTTGTACATCACCTGTAAATAATTGTTTCAATAGATTTGTCAGTATTATAATGTAATATATTGTATAAATGTATAATATTTGTATTTATAAACAAGACTAGTATACTTTAGTCTGACTTTGAGTAAAATTGTTAGGGAAATTTCCCACGGCCTATTTTCCAAAAATTTAAAACTTAATCAGTTATCTTTAGCCCTTGTTGCTCATTTTGATAATTTGGAAACATATTATAATCAACTTGAAGCATTTGGATGCTTTTCATATTTGTATAAGCTGAATCATTAGTACTATGCCCAATACCTAGATAGTTTATCTGGTATTATATGATTTATGTTGATGAAATCTATTTTGTGGTAAAACTGCTTATTTATTTGATAATAATTTTGACTGATCATGTTGTAGAACTGCCGATTGTTTTGTAGTTTTTGTTGATGTAATTGGTGTAGAAATTGAGATTTCATTATTTTGTTACCATACATTTGTAGTATCATATAATAAATCCGGTGTTTTACTCGCTAAATCTTTCACGTTTTTAACGTTTGCTTGTGTAGTTTTAATTGGTGTAATATTGTTATAATTTTAGTATTTTCCAATTTTGGTGGTCGGGATTTAATTTATTGACTTGTTGTTTTGGAGTTCCAAGCATCGGAGACTGATTTGATTACCTTGATTTTTGACTTATTAAACTTTCAATATATTACTCAGTTCTTGCTTTTGACTTATTACTCTCTTTAAAAAAATTTACTCGAAACTACAATGATGAATATTTGACAGCATCATATCTATACATTTTTTTTTTTTGTAATATTTAACTGTTTTAAAAGACATGTCAGTATTTATTATGTCAAAATCCATTTTTAATATTTAAATATGAAATACATCTTTTAATGGGCTTACATACATTCATAGTTTATTATTCTTTCAAATTGTATAAAAAAATTGAACTGATTTTTTTTATAATATATAAAATGTAATAATTAGTTTTGTTTTACTTGAAGAATAATTTAAATAAATTATAAATCATGTATCTATTTATTTGTATTATTTAAATGTATACATTGTATATAAAGTATCATTACTTGTAAGATATCTAGTAAAATATAATTTGTCTATAATTTATTTGCATTCTATTATTTGATGAAGTTTATATAGTAATGTAGGTATTTTTGTTGGAAAAATATTTTATAAACTGTATTAAATGTATAGTAGTTATGAATTTAAGACGTACCTAAATTAAAAGTATGCGAGTGTACAACTCAAAAAGCATTAGGTATATTATTCTGTTAAAGAGAATAACTCAGCAAAAATCATTTATACTGACTTCAAAAATAAAATCAGTTTGGCCAGTATTATATTAAAAGTTTGGGCAATATATATTAATTATGATTTATGATTCATTATAATTGAATAAATGTTGAAAAACGTAGTTATATAATACTTTATTTTAACTCTATACATTTTTATTTGGATGGGTTCTATGCATAGGTAGTGATTTGGTTGCATTGTAGGGGGCTAGAATAATCCAATGTAAAGTAACCAGCAGGGGCGGAAAAAGCCCCTAATAAAGAGTGAATATCTTAATTTTTTTTAAATAATAGCATAATAGATAATTAATAAAAAAAATAATGCTAATAATAATGTGGGGGGAGGGATATTTACATTTCTGGGTACTGAGCCCCCTGATGACCACCTATCGTTCTATGAGTAGTTTTAGGAGGGCTGAGGCCTAAGACCCCTCCAGTCCCTTTTATATTGTAGACATCTACAGACCCAGAATCCAGATAAAACCAGCAAGTTGCCGAGGTTAACTCAGGACTACATTTTGGTAAATTAAGTAGGTACTAAGCGTAATTGTATACTAAACAATTTTAACTGGTTTTGGGCTGGTAAAAGTTCTAAGACTTGATGGGTCACCGGGTCGGTAGATAATGTTTCTAGTACTTGGCATCTATTTTGATTTAAATAAAACATTAGGTGGTTTTATTTATTTCAATAGGTAATTTGTTTTGTCTGTGAAAATTGTAAAAATATAAATTTTATCTTATTTATTTTTGTTTGAACCAATTGTGTTGTTAATTTAGAAATTATTATATTATCATAATATTAATGCTCACAATTTTAAGTCTTTAGTCACCAATCGCCATTAGAAGGTTTTGTGAATAGATTTATGATATACCTATACATATATATAGAGTGATATTTAGCATTTTTATTATCAATATTTTAAATTATAATGGTTATTAAAATTTTTGGTAGTAATAAAGGGGGAAGTGTTTAGTACTTGACACCAATTTGAGTAGGTACAAATAATAGTGGAAATGTTGGTAAAAATTTTTAAAAAAAACTGATTATTGTACATTTTACATTTTTACATTTTTATAAAAATAATATCTTAAATGTAAATATAACAGAAGAAGTCCTGACTGCCTGATTATAATTATTATTGTTCTATGTTATAATCACGATTAAAGATATACTGGTTGCGCAACGAGGCATGATAACGAGACCCCTGAAGTGTCCTAGACTTTTGACTGATAAGAATTGTATTACGGCGCGCTCTATTGTAATTTGTAAAATAAATTGATAGGTTTGATATTTAATATCTCATACCTATTACCTACCAATTCGTAATTTCACAGCAGATATAAAAAAATAAGTACATTTTACATATTTTATACCTTAATATCTTTGTAAATATTAATTAATAATATATGTCATTTATTAAAAAAACGTAATATAAATAATATAATTAATGTATAACACAATAGTTCTGGACACGTTGGTAGGTACCTCGATGATTGGGATTATTAAAAAGCCAATTATTATAATGTAATACAATTTTATTTAATAAAAAACATAAGTACATTTTGTTTGCAATTGCTTGAAAAAAAGTCCATATTATTATTAAATCTATACTGTTACCAATTTATGTTCATCTTAACTTGTTACTAATTTAGACAGCTTCTTTTTTGTCTTATTTTGTTTCTTATCCAATTGATTTTTCATATAGCTATATTGCCTCATGCGCATTATTATGAAACTACTACAAATGTCAGTTAATATGTCTGTTTGATGTTTAGTGCATGGAAATGTTAGATTTGAATATTTATTAAAAAAATCATCTAATGTTTCTTCAAATACATTATTGGAGTTGGCATGTAGTGTAAAGCATAATTCTAATTTTTTAAGCATTTGAAATAAATTATTATTTGGATGGGTTAAAAAGCCTCTAGATTTTAAATTAACCAGTTCAGCTTCGGTTGATGTATTTTCATTAAAATTTTTCAAGCCATGTAAACAGGAATCACATTTTGTTTTTTTCGTAAGTTTTTTTGCTATGTATCTGTAATACAAATTAAAACTTTGATGATTCAGTATTATTATAAATGAAAAAAATTGTTATACCCAGCCAAAAAATAAACTGTACAATCAAAAACTGATGAATGAGATGAGCTGGTTTCCTCTGGTGAGATAATGTCTTCTAACTCAAAATTACCTTCTTCTATAATATTATTAATCTTGTTTTTTAGTATATTGATTTTGTTTTCTCTAATTGATGAATTTAATGGATCATTTAAAATTTCTTTAAAATCTGATATTGTTATTACTTTTTGATCTTCTAAATTGAAAATAATATTTCAGTAAATGCAAAATATAATATCTAACAAACTAAATACCTTCAAATATCGTGCAATTTCCAGATTTTGGTGGCTTAACTAGAGAATGTACCGATAGCATTCTGTACAACTGGAGAAATGTGGGAGTCGTCGGGTGGTCATTGGGACCAGCGACCTGTCTTATTATCCCAAAAAATTTCTATGTATACAATTAAAAATTAATAAGTTATATTATTGATTATAGTATGCATTTTTTTTATAAGATTTAATTTTGTCATAAAGTTATGAAAATACTAAAATAGTATAGTATTACTTCTAAACAATCTTGGTTTAATTTAGCAGTAAGTACATAAATGAATCCATAATCATTTAGTAAATCATTTACTAAATCTATTGTAGATTGAATTGTAATTTTAAGACCATCTACGGTTGTTCTGGTTAAAAATTCACTTTCATGAATAAGATTATTTTTTAAATTTGATTCCCATTCTTTAATCCATAATAAACCTTGTTTCAAAACCTATAACACAATTAATATAAATACATTTGATATTTTTTTATTTTGATTAATGAATATTCACCTGAATTTTTTTCTTTTTTCTAAATTATTATAATATTATAATCAGTAAATTACTTTCACATGTAGGTTAGTAATTAATACATATATTTAAATGAAACTACCTAAGTAAGTATATTATAAACAAATGAGTTTAAATGTCACATCATCTAATATAAAACACAAGCATGCAAAACATACACACAGATATGAACATATTATAAGAAAACCTCTATATCGTTACTATTCTTCTTTATTCCTTCAGCAGGAAACTTGCGATTTAGAGCATCAAATATATTATTCAACATAATCGTAAAATTAACTGTTTCTTCAGAATCTTCAAAGCCTTTATAGTTTTTGCTTTTATAAAAATTGATACCTACTGCCATAGATTTGCTAAACAACTATTAATAATAATAAAAACAATACATTTTTTAATGATTCATTGTGTGTTTGAAATTAATGTTTTTATTCACTAATTAATATATTACATAATTGTAAAAAGATCAGTCATACAGACAAACAAATCAAACTTAAACTTTATATATAAACTTACTTGTACTGCTAGTTTGACTCGCATCTTTGACAGGTTATTTAATTCAAAATGGTGCTTACTTATTTTTGGACAAACTTTAGTCAGTGAGTGTTCTTCATTTTTGTAAACATTATAATAATGCTCCCATTTGATACATGATTTTTCTGGATGGAACTACAATCATACAAAAAAAAAGAAGTATAATAATGTTAGTAATAGTATATACTTTTTAAATGTACCCTGAGTTGCTTTTTCTCATATAAACGATTTCGGATGGTTTTCATAAGATGTGGTGCATCCGAAAACACATAGACCTTGCGTGTATTATCATATGGATTATTAAAGTAATTTTTAAAATTGTCTTCATTTGCACTTATTCCTAATAATTTTAACATGTTGCGATTGGTAGTAGCCCCATCGCCTGTTAAGCCAACCACCTTTCCACCAGCTTTCTCTAATAATAGTATCGCTTTAACTATTAGTTTTGTAAGGTCAGCTCCTATAAAAATAATAACCAATTGAATTAATAATAAAAATTTAATAATTGTAAAATTACACATATTGTTTATTAAATTCAAATCTATTTAATAGCTAAGTACCTTTTACTGGACCTTTAGAAGCAAAGACAGCTATTGGCTGAGTAAAGTTATCAGCCAAGCTTTGCCACATGAGGACCAAAGCATGATTTGCTTTTTCAGAGGTGTTTATTTTATTTGGTATTTCATCACCATAGTCTTGTAGTCCAAGATAAGTCAAACTTCGGCTATTTACACTTATACTCTCTCGTAAAAAAATTTCATCATATACGAGGCAACCTAGTTTTTGATGTTCAGTTTTAGAACTAAATTTTTTTTCCAAAAGTTTAAAAAAATTGAGATCGAAACCACAACCAATTTTTATTGCTAGAAGATTTTTTCTTATTGTATTTACGCTTGGCAAAGGAAGTAAATTTTGATCCCTCAAAAACCTATAGCCACTTGGTGATCTGTTAAAAGTAACTCAAAAACTATTTTAATACAATATAAATTATACGACAAATTAAATTTATGACTTACCTAATATGAAAAAGTAGACACATGAGCATCCAATTTTCACAATATTTCCTATTCTTTGGGTTTTTTAATCTTGCTGCAGCAAATATCTCTAAAATCAATTCTGATTGACATTTAGGTATAGAAGAATTTTCTAATATCTGAGATATGTTTGAATCACTGAGCTCTTTCATTTTATTTTTGAAATCATTTAAACTGCATTGTAACCTATTAATTTTTCTATTTGCCCTTGAAAAATTCTTGAAAATGGCTTTTTTAGTTTTTTGTAGATTTGTTACAATTCGTTTCTTATTGGGAGAAAAATTAGGCCTTAAACTTTTCCCATTTAACATCCTACATTTTTTCTTTTTTATACTGTCCATTAACCGTTGACACCATACACAATATTTACTATACAATTTTAACATTTATTTTTATAATTAGTAAATCAATTATTAAAAACCATTTAATACAATTCATAAATTACCTGTCTTTTTCAGGCAACACTTTCAAGCATTTTAAATGGTGGTATTGACCACAGGTTTGAATACAATTTTGCCCAAAATAAGAAGTTATAATAGGAGTGTATTCATCAGAAAGCAATACTCCATTGCAAACATTAATTTTATCAAATACATTTAAAACATTTTCCAACTCTTCCTTACTTTTGGGGGTATAATTACAAGGAAACCCAATATCTGATGTTAATATTTGTTTGCCATTTATATGTAAAGTAATTGTGGAATCTAAATAAATAATTACATTATTATAAATTATTTAATAATTTACTATCTATACTAGAAAATCTCTAAAAAGTAATTGGGCCATTTGTAAATGTATTCAATCCTATATTTGAATAATTATATACAATTTAATGTATGTACACTAATAACAATAATAATAACTAAATATATTTTCTTACCTTCAGTTATAACAAGTTGTTTTTCAACATATCTATAATAGTCTGATTGAAAAGAGCCCATTTTATAAAAACAAATAACTTGTTTGCAGGACTCTGTATAATGTACACCTATATCATTAAGCCACTTCATTGGAACATTTATATTTATTAATTTATCAAAAACAATATTGAATAAAGTTTTATCTACATTCAACTCAAGCTGTAAAAAAATATGTGTTTAAACTAAATTATTATATTATAAACAAGTATACATATTTACTTTTATTTTTTTCTGCACTGGATAACTAATTTCTTCAGATGAATTATTTGAAATATCATCACTTTTAGATATTAAACTATAATTATGATCATGTTCTATTACTGGTATGCTATTACTCGGTATAAATGGTACAGCTCCTTTTTTGAGTCTAGGTTTTTTTAAACATATCTAAAATATATATTATTATGATGTATGATGTATCATATAATATATAAATCATAGGTGTATATAAAACTTATGCATTATATAGTTAATATTATAATTTATAACAGTTAATAATACATTAGTTAAATTGTGTTGTATTGAATTATACTTAGTTGCTTAAATATATTTTATATAGGTACTTACAGTGTACTTTGACTGTCCTCGTCCCGATACCCATTGATCAATAATGTCGTATTTTTGAAAATGTGACGCACAAACTCTATAATTACTTTCTAAATTCATTCCAAGACTTCTTTCCCATTCTTTTAGCAAGAGATTATCTTTTGGAACTAAAAAAGACGATTTGTGTTGATTTACACAAATCGACACACAACACTTCATTTTGTTAATATTTTCAATAAACTAATGTCTAATAGAAAAATTTACACAGAAATACAGAATAAAGATATCTTTAATATCGTGCACACACTCGAAATAAAATAGCAATATTCAAAATTACATGTTGTTTTAGGCGGTAAAAAATTGTGATAATGTTACCTGATATCTTTAATCGTGGTGGTGATAATATAAAGAGAGCGCTAGTTGTTTATTCTTATCAACAGTTTATCAAGGACACTTCGGGGACCACATTAAAATGTTCTTATCATAGCTCGTTGCGCAACCAGTATATCTTTAATCGTGGTTATAATAATCAACGCAGAGCTTAAACTATGATAGCTAGCGACTTGACATTTTCCTGGCATGATTGTATTAACGAAAGTAGGAAATGTTTTGGGGGGCTTAGTCCCTAAAGCCCCCCCCCCTATTTGCGCATTGTGCCTATGAATATAGCCATATAGTTAGTCCAGACTCTAGACGTGCAATAAGAAAAGATTTTGAATAATTTTGATTTGAAGGGGCTGCATAGGCAAAAAATATTTATTTTTTATATTTTACTTATTTTAACATTTTTTTTATGACCACCTCATTACCAACTATGATTCACTTCCCTACCAGAAAATATGCTGAAATAAAAAATCAAAGCACTTTCACTGCCTCAAAAAGTGACGGCAGTAATGTCACAACACATTATTATAAAATCAATACATATTGTGATACGATTAATGATTATACCTACGACAACAAACAACTGAAACAAAGCAGACACGCAGTTAAATATTATCAAATAATTTGTAATCCAAGTAGGTACATCGGCCCAGTGTTTTAATATTATGATAAGATCGGCCCGCCACGTGGAAACTTTTCCGGTATCCCGGTGGGCCAATCCACCTGTGTCATCATGTAAGCGTGCACTAAATAAAGCATTTTCCAAAATTCTTAGTGGTGCTTGGACAAGTATTCTGAGATTCGAGATTCGAGATGACAATTTTTAAGTTTTGAACACCATTATTAAATAACGAATTGAACAAAGTTTGATTCATATAGGTGCCTTTATTTATAGTTGGAATTTTTAACAGGTAACAATGTGTGCTGACCCAGTGCACTTGGTTATAAATAATAGATTATACATTTATACATCATTATAAAGTGTGCGATTTTGAGATGCAACGAAAAGTGTATCAAATGCCAATATGTCATATACCTAGAGGCTAGAATAGGGCATAAAACAGGTTTGCCATAATGCCATTTCGCAAATGATATAGTTAGCAAGGCATTGCAGGTTGTGTCACAAGTTAAATTATAATTCAAAATAATAATAGTAGGTAATTATTAATTATAATATTATAATATTACTAATAAATAATAGTTTGTAGAATATTATATTGGCCACGCAGCATTTACATATGTATGAATTGACCGAATATAGGTAGACACATGGACGCATAGACACAATAAGGACGACGGTGAGTGGGCTTATGTATAATAATAATATAATGTACAACGTTGAAATCATATAACAATGATAGGTAATAAATATATCACAATAGTTACGATGCAACGACGTTTATTTATTATTTATTATTATTACTTATTATAGTATTATACTACTTTTATTTTATTATATTTATTACTTTTCAGGACTTTTATCTTCGGATATATTTTCCCCGGATATAATATTATTCCCCCCGCACATTTTGTCCCACGGATATATATTTTCTCTCGGATATGGTGTCCTCAGATTTTTTCCCTAGCATATTATATTGTTTTCCCTGGACTTTCTTTCTCAGATATTTGTTTCGTGTAAATTTTTTTCATAATTTTGTACTCATGGGGATGGAATTCAGATCCAGACCCTCCCCCCCTCCTAATTGAAATAAAAATGTTTTCATCCAATTAAAACTAGGTATTAGTATAATAATGTTTAAAACGATATTATATATTATTTGAATACATTAGGTATATTAAATAACAATATAATATTATGATAAAAATGTTGGTATATAACTTAAAAATAGGTACTTTAAGCTTCCTAACTACAATAAGGTAGTTAACTACTAGGTAGTAACTTCTAGGTACTTTAAAAACCTACATGATGGTAGAAGCATGCCCTAGATAATATTCTTACCTATGAATTTTGATGATATGTCATTTTACTTTAATATTAAAAATAATAGAGTAAAATAAATTATTTTGAATGTAAAAGTAGCTGTTAGGTAGGTACTTGTTAGGAGTAGGTATGAGTTTGCAAGTCGGAAATATTTCATTATACGGCCACGTAGTGCAGATATAATAATATATAATATCCTCTAAATAAATTAATATACCTACATTAAAACCGTAACTGTAATACCTATCTATGTTCTATCATAATATCATGACGTATTATCAGACACCTGTGATGTAATTGAATCTGATACTTAACAATTATTATTTGAGTGAGTAAGTATAGGTACTTAGGTAGTTAGGTATTTACTATTTAATAATTTAACAAAATATAAATATTTAATTTAATAATATTCAAATAATACCCCGGTACTTAATAGTTTAGTTAATAACTACCTAATGAGTAATATTAATAATATAATAGCTAAAATAAGTACCTACATAATATTATAATAGTTGACGTTTATTACATAAGTTTTCTAGCATATTTTCTACATAAAACATGTTTATTGGTGATCTAAGAGTTATGATGTAAACGCAATAAACGTATTATAAATATTTGTATTTTAAGACCAAATAAAAAAAAGTAATAATTATAAGGTAATATAGGGTCCTTCCTAATTAAAAAATTTCTGAGTATACCGTGGTTTGGAGCAAACAATCCGCCTGGATCATGACTAGAGATATTATTTTTCAAGACTACAACTTAGTATTCACTATTTGTGGTGTAAATTTCAGTATGTAGGGTGGGTGCTGTTGACAAAGGATTTCCGTTTTTTCCGCAATCGTTTGTGGGGTGTTGATCACCATATTTCACACAACGCGGAAGTTACAACAGCAATTTATTGTATGCCCCAATGACTGGCAGTTAAGACATTGAATGATGTTTTTTTATTTCCGGGAATTTTCTACTTTTGTGCAAGTATAAATGTATAATATGCAAAAGCAAAAAGATTTTTAAAAAATATGTTAACATTTATGTTAGATGAAATTTGATACGGGTAATTGTACGTTATGTAATAATATGTATTTTGTAAAATATTTATTGGTCTTTAATGAAAACATTTTATAGATATAGATATGATGATATATGTTACAATTAATATAAAATCTGTGAAATACATTTAATAAATTAATAGTAGTATATGTGCTTACCTCTACAGCCTATATAATAACCGAACCAAATCAACCAAAGGGGTTTTTCAAGTATCAGTGATGTATATCAAAATAATATACGGCGTGTGTTTTAAATTGAAACCCTATTTTTGGAGGAAAAAAAATAACGATTTTAAAATTTATGAATGCACATTCAATATTTTATTATACACGTATACCTCATAAAGTAGGTGCTATAGCTAGTGAAATTGTTCTCTTGTTCAACGACGTACGATTTTCTTTCCGTCTCATTAAAAATTCCATCATTTTTTTTTTTTTGCATCTGCTTGTTACCACTCCATGATACCCTTTTTGATAACAACCACGTCGCCTACTTTTGTAACGAGAAAATATATATTATATATATATGTTTATGCAGTATAGTAATATACATACACTAATAATAAGGGAAAAAAGACGATGAAACAAAATGGGTGAAAAGTAAAATGACCTTCTGGAATATATATACCTATATTATACAATATGTTTACGGACTAAGATTATGCAAAAGTATTTAAAAGCATTTTGTTGACGTCAATGTTAAATAAAACTTGTAAAGTATCATTCAATATGAAAGTTAAGTACCCATTTTGTTCATAAGTAATAAACGATAATATTTATACGTTTAGTAGGAACCTACCTATATTGGCTATTAGTGCAGGACCATATTTTCATTGAAATATTTAAAAACCTATATACGACTATACTTACATATTATCAATATTGAAAGGGAGGCATTATTTTGTTTTCAATTTTAAATAACATTTGAACATACCTTGTTGATGGCATTTAGATTTATTAGACTTAATTCTCCCCGGTATAAATGTATAATATTCTATTATGTTATTGGTGTATATGGTCTATGTACCTATATATAGGTGTATCACGTATTCATAAACTATGTTAGGTAAGATAGGTATAACAATAGAATATGATTT